AAGTTAAAGTAATGTAGAAAATTTTCATTCAAGTTTAAACTATCGATGATAATTGCCACAACACATAAACATGATAAAGAATTGTATATTGTCAATTTTATTTCAGAATTCTCAAAGAGATAATTTGAGTTTAGGAAAGGATGAGTATCAGGTGGAAAAGAATTCAGGTAACAATTTATTTGCCTATTAATTGGTTTGCTAGTCTTTCTTCTTGCAGCTAGGGCAGCACATAGGGCAAAGGTCATAGCTCTCCATGTGTGGCTGTTCGTTGCCACTGGCTTTAGGTTTTGGGTGTTTGTAGGCCCATAGTTGAGGCTTTCCTGATGATGGTTCTATGCAGGGTCTCTCTTGGTCTTTCTTGTTTTCTCTTCCCTTCTGCTGTCCATTTGAGGGCTTGATAGGGTAGTCTTGTCTTATCCATTCTATGTGCATGGCTTATGTAGTTCCAGCAGCACTTTCTTATAAAATTTAATACATTATCCAAATGTACGGGAATGTGTGGTGCTTGAGTCAGTTGCTTTCAGTCAGTGTGTAGGACGTGTGCGCGAATTGTTCAAGTTCTATAGATGCATAGACCTGTGCCACAGTTTTACCAAGTTTTATTCTGTGGGGCTTGGGTGAACTGTCCGGATGATTGTGATGGATCAGGAGTTGGACTTCAAAATTCTGTCATGGTAATTTCTAGAATGGACAGTTGTACAGCCACGTGTGTGGGGTCGGCATGGTTGTGACTGTGTGGCTTGCTGGTTGACAGAGGTGTCCTTACTTGCACAGAAGGTGCTGGGGAACTTTGTGTGTGTTAACCTGTGTGGAGTTGTGATGAGGAGGTATTAAGACTCTGGTCGGCGAACTGGAGGTTGGCCAGTGATGTTTCAGTGAGTGGCTGGGGTTTCAGACGGGAGGTCTGGATTCTTTTCACCAAGTGGTAAGCTATCTTGAGTCCTCTTTTAGAGAAAGAACCGTATGAGTATTGTCCCTTCACATCACATGGATGTATCTGCGCGATCAGGTGTGAGTTGCCCATAGCAAGCATCTGGTACATAGTTTGCTGGGGTGTTTTGTCCATGTCTGGAGAGACTGCCAATATGAATGTATTTGGCCGGCCGTAGTAGACTTGACAGTGTGTCATTGATCACTAATTCATTGTCATCGCAATGTGTTCCTCCATAATAAAGAGACTGATCATACTTGGCGTGGTATAGTATACTACAGTACTTATAGACAATGTTAGTGGTTTACGATAGTACATGGTTATTGGTTACGTGAGCCTGGATTATGGTAGTGTTTCTATTGCCTCTGCTTGCTGTCCTGTAGAAACCTAATAGTCGTTTTGTTGTCTAAGGAAGCTCTTGTATGTGACTGGAGCAAGCCATAAGACCCTGGGAGCTTGGTTGGATGGATGCCTTACCTCCTAAGAATGCATCTAATAATACTCATTATTTTGTTAACTTGATGCCTGCCCTTTAATTCTCATCTTACCCTTCCATGGCTCATTTGTCATTTCTTGTCAGTTTTTTATTGTTGTTGACCACATCACCCACCAAACGCTGAGTGGTCTGTGGAAATATGAGGCAGGCCTAAATACCCACTTATGTTGGGGGGGGGGGGGGGGAAAGGGGGTAGACCCACGGTCTCCTTAAGAGCAGGTCGTACAAGGCGACTAAGTAGGGATGTTTCCTTCGAAGTCAGAGTGCACCTGCCTGAGAGGTGAAGAATCAACAGTCTGCATACAAATAAGCCAGATGTCCACATAAAAGTCAAGTATTAGAAAAAGACTTTTCTGCCGGAGTTTACAGTAGCTGAACGCTAAGGAAAAAAAAAGAAGAATCTTTACCTGGGTTTAGTCCTTTTTTTCTTGAACTGCATTCAGATAAATTTTATTTCTTTTTCAGTGTCCAGTGTGCCAGGAAAATTCAAGAATCATCTAGAGAAAGTGGCAGTGTATTCCCCCTTGTCTCACGATGATCTGTGATTGCCAGAAAGGATTTGTCAGACGTAGATGCTTATATTATTTTTATATGTGTGTGTGTGTGCGTACCTTTGTTTTTTTTTTTTCACTCTTCTTTTTGAATACTTATGTTTATGTGTGTCTTTATTTTTTATTTGAAAATTTTTTTGTTATGCAGCTGTGATTGGCATCATTATAAATGTTTAGTTACCAGTACAAATACATTCAAAGGCATGAATGTATGCCATACACTTCTTAAGGCTCAGTCTTTTTTATTTCTGTCTTGTTACAGTTTATTTCTTTGGTCATAAAGAAGAGTTACATGCTGTGTAAATTACCATCTGTATTATGTTTTCTAAACTTGAAACTATTTTGATTCCTGTTTTAAATGAGAATAACACTTTTGAAAACATGAGGTATGCTTCGTTCAATGTAGTGGTCACGTGTTGAATTTATATATCAAATTTCAAATAATATTTTAGTTAAAGTTTTTTTTTTTTTTTTTTACTGGGGAGTATGTTCATTTTTGCCATTATAACTGCATCGATTAATACATAAATATGCAATATAATCTGCATAACGCAGATGCTTTGTAAATTGTGAAATAAGATTGTACGTACAGAGATAAGATGAAGGAAAGTAATTCAAATTTTCCTTTGTATTTGATCAGAAGATGAAAGTAAGAATAATACAAAGGCAATACTTCCACATGAATTCAATTGTTTCAAATAATTACATTTACTGTCGTAATTCTCACCATCAGTTCTGTTGTGTTTTTAGTTCTACACTTTTTATTTTAACAAATGCTTATGTATTCAGGATATTTCTTTGGCTGTTTAATAAGTAAAGTAAAAGTAAAGGACCCCCTTAGGTATATGTTTAAAGGTTTCATATTCGTCATCTTCATGTGAGATGCAATATTCTGTTTAAAGCCCTGCCCTAGGCTTCTGCCGGGGGCCCTGAATATAGCTGGGGCATAAATATGACCTAGCTATAGATATTGCCTAACGGCTGAAAGGGGTTTCTGGAACCTCTCCACAGATGATCGTCATCCACATGGTTGCACTTTGTGTCACAGGGTGGTAATCGCTTGTTTGATGTCCTGGTGGGATACAACTACCTACCTACCTACTAGACAGATTTAGGGTAGACCTGTATTTAATAGACCAGTCGGAACTTGGTAGTTGATGTAGCCAGTATCACACCGGCAGCATTTACTTCCCAGCACTTTACCTGTTCACCATTTAAGGCTGGGTTGACCTGGGAGCTAAGATACTAGAGTACCATTCCAAGCCACATGTTTTGGTGCAGTTAATATTTCTTAGCCAACAGAATTGGCACAAAGAGACTAGACCATAATTATAAATAATGCCTCTCACAGTAGGTTAAACGAGGTAGTTTGTCATAAATGGATGGATAGATGGGAGCTGAGGTCATTATGGAAAAAGTCTGGCTCTGTTCTGACCTGAAACCATGACCTTCTGATCTGCGGACAGGCGTTTAGCCCTTAGTGGTGTTTTTTATTATAGTGCCGAGCAACTCACTTGTGCGTTTATTTAGTTTCTTTATATATTTTGAGTAAAGTAACTTTTTCACAGCAATGGCACATCGGTAAATGGTGCCAGACTCTTAATTGTTATAGACCAGATAGTACTTGATGGGTGATCTGGTTGGTTAGCATCACGCTGCCAGCTGTTACTTCCCAGGACTTTACCTGTTACCCATTATGGGCTGAGTCGACCTGGGAGCTGAGCTAAATTTTGAAGAAGAAAAACATCTGACTCAATGCAAATTTGAACGGCATGCCCGAACCTGTGGGTTCAAATCTGAGTCGGACGTGTTTTTTTTTTTTTTTCAAAACTGATCTCAATTCTCTCTCCCCAAATAATCTTTTGCAAGGGTCTTTAAAAAAATACCTTAAAAAGTGGGATAGAAATGACAGTTATCATGCCATTGTCTTGTAATCTATCATTGTTGTTAAGAATGTCAATAGCATTAAGCACATGACATCACGGTACAGGCAAACACAATGGCAACATTTTAGGCCCCCTCCTATGTTAAATCATTATAACCCAGTTGTTACTTCAAATCATTCTGTCTCATAGTTGTATTATTCTAGGTCATTCAGTCTTGTTACTCTAAACAACATACACACTTCGAGATAGAAAGTTTTCAAGTAACAATTGTTTGGGCTTGCAGAGTGAACTTTTTATGAAGTTACCTTTTCTTGCAGTGTGTGTAATATGAAAGATCCATTTCCCTGTCTTGAAGCATGAGGTGCTATTTCCATATCTGTTTAGATCAGTGATCTCCAACCTTTTTCAAGTGGCACTCCCCTTGAGTATAGGGCATGGGCACCTGTCCCCAAGACATAACAAAATGGGATTTAAAAGATAGGGGAACAAGAAAACATTTAAGCGCACTGTTAACAACTTGGAGAAAAACATCCACATAAATCAAAGCCTCAAATAACAAAGGAAACAATCACTAGCAACTGCTGATTTAGTGCTCGTATATCAATTTAATGGTTGACACTGTTTTATCTTTATAAAATCTGCTATTTTTAATCTGATGTTGGGCAACTCACCATATCAAGTTGGCAGCACTAAATTCTTGTTTTCATGACTGTTAAAGCTGAAAACCGGATTATTATAAGTACAAATGAGCTCCTTTTTTTTTCTTCTTCTTTACGTCCTCTTGTACCACTTTGGGTGTTGCGAAAGCTCTTCTTGCTGCTTTGAGCATACACACATAGTGAGACTAAAGAATTTCTCTGATGTTATCTTTCCATCTTGTTTCGCTCTACGCCCCTCTCCTCTTTTAATATATTCTTTATATGTTATAGCATCAGAAGGCATTTTCTCCAAGTGGGCAACAAATGAACCAAATTTCAAAACTGCCTGACACCCCCCCCCCCCCCCCCCCCCCCCTGAAACTTCCTCATCTCCCTCCCTTCCCCACCCTCCTCCTCCTCAAGGGGGACATGCCTTCAGGTCAGAAACCACTGGTATAGACCAATCAACACTCAGTCGCTCTTATGGTTAGCATCGTACCAGCTGCCTTTATTTCCTGTAACATTTTCGGGTACCCATTTTTAGCCTAGTGGGCCTGGCAATCTAGGTCACTGAAAATTAAAATTCATGACTGATTATTGGGCATCTTGTCACCATCTGAGAAGAAGCAGTTTATATATACCTTTGTCACTTGTTTCATTATTCACTAGATACTAGATTTCAGCATTAACAAGCCCTTCAGAATTGCCATGAGATGAAAGGAACTAATGGATGAAGTCTTCTGGGACAGTTTGACACCAGTAGGTAGTGTGAAAAAAACCAACCATAGGAGAAGTTTGTACCTGTGTGGAAAGATCCTAGGATAATGTATGATTAGGGTCATTGTCAAGTCACACAAGAAGTGTGGCATTTCAAATGTCACAGATGGAATGGAGGCTGAGGCAGTATATAAAGATTGATTCGTCATCAGACACAGACGATGACAAGTTAAAGCTAACTATCATGTGGAGGAGAGTTTTGAAAGTGATGAGAGGTACTCTAGATTGTATGATCAATAAAACATGAGTTCATTAACTTTATGTAAGCATTTTGTTTTTTCAAAATTTCGAGTCCCAAAATCAAGGTTCTTCTTATACATGGGATCATCTTATACTTGGGGAAATACAGTACATGCAGTGGCACCAGTGATCCTAAAATCCTATGCACTAATTGTGGAAGATTTGGCTTAACGCCATCTGCCATCAGGTCTTGCTGGATATGCCATTGCTGTGAGTCATGATTCCCTTGCCTCTTCATAGCACAGTATAACTGGTCTGTCAATGAAGGAATGAATCAGGAGTTGTCATCACTGCACTTAGGACATTCCCACACATGTTCCATCCCCCTTTCCAGTAGCCACCGAAGAGTTTCCTTGCTAATAGTGCCGATTAAAGGTTCCCCTGTTTTTTCCTTGGGTTGAATGTCTTCCAGAACACCCAGCGTATCTTTCATTTAATTAGTCTTTCAAGGTGTGGATACTCTGTTCTTCTGTCCACTTGATCCCACGTCTGCTTTATAACAAAGTAGCCCATTGTCCAGAGAAGCAGCAGCAGCAAATCTATCAGCCTGTTCATTGCCCTGCACAAAGGTGGCAACTAAGATGTTCCATTGGTAAAGGGGATCTTCAGATTTCAACAGTTATGGCAATTGTTTCAACAGCAATAATTAAAACAAACAAACCCACAAAAGTTAGGACAAAAAGTAATGCAGGGTATGGTTCCAGGTAGAAAAGGCATTGGTTGACAAGCCTGACAGTGGACACAGGATATCAATCTGGAGCATGTTGTGACCACTGAAAAGATCAATGGGAGAAAAAAGTCAGAGGAAGTTAACGGAAAAGATTCTTGAAAGCCTTTTGTTCTGATATTGAGGAGTGTCAGCACACGAACTGATACATCCTCTTGAAGATTGTGGAGAGGCATGATCACCCAAGCAGGTCAACAAGGCATTTGATGATGTCAAGAAAAATGTCATTTATGTTAATTTCATTTTTATTTTAGTTTCTTTTGCGAGTGTTTGTGTAATTACTGTTAAAACAATGGGAAGTATGGTTCATAATGATGTTGATAATAAAAAGTTTTATTTACTGTAATGTGTGGTTGTGTCAGTGAAGATGAACAGAGCAGTTGTGTCATCTTATTGTTACCTTTTGTATTCTTCATTGTGTTTGACTCTTTTTATGACATCCGCGGCTAGGGAGAGGTTACACCGGATATTCCAGGTTCTTCGCCTGATGGAATGATGCCCTTTCCGGGATTATTCTGCATTTTATTTCCGTGACTCTTCCATCAGTTTTTACCATTTACCTTCTTCAGAGTTGGAGCACATCTGCCTAATAGGCGAGGAGCAAAGTCATGTATGTAAAATGGATGTGAATAGGGCACTCAGGTCTTCAAACAAGACCATTCATGGGCACACCACTAGGACTTTCTGTCAGTGTCCACAGCCAGCGAACGCAGATGAAGAGTTGAC